AAGCTAACAGTGAATGCTGTCACCTTCTATTTTGTTGTTCTATCGTTAGCTTCTTGACACATCTTCTAAATTTCCGACGAAATACAGCAAACTTTCCACTGTTTCGACTGCAGCTAACTACCAGCGGAAATGGGTACGTGTGGAATCGTTAAGTGTCTGAATGGAAGATCTACCCTGCCCAGACTTTTTCTGGTGACGGCCTTGAAAATTCTATCAGAAACGCATGCTGGTGAGACTGAGGAGGTCTCGGAGGCTCTGCAGTACCACTGCTAGCCAAAAAGTCTCTTTCTATGGGAAAGCGAGCACCACTCAAAAGCACCGTAAACGGCTCGAAGTGGAGAGGGACTTGCTTTCTGATACAGGAGGCACCTTGCCTAAACGAATATCTGAACAACAACTGGCCACCAGTTTTTTGCTGGATCTGCTAAGCATTTTTTTAACTTTCTCAAAAAAATGAATCGTGGAAGTGCTACTGTTTCAGTAATCTCAGACTGATTAACTTCAAAAGAAGACCGTAGCTAAAGCTGTAATCTCGAAATACGAGAGGTGACTGCGTCGTAATGAATTGGCCGCTCTAATCTTTATTACTCATTGTACTCTTTCGTGTACGGTGTTTCAAAAAAAAAGAAAAAAAAAGGACAAAAAGGACAAAAAGAGTTAGCAATGTTAGAGCTTCAGTTGAAGGATATGATACAATGATAACTATATTAAGCGTGCAGCAAGCCTTCTTTGTCACGTTACTTTTTTAGGAAAACAACACTGTGTTAAACTCAGACGGCTACTGAAAGCATATTATAATTTTCTGCAGTTATTTCATGTGCTTTGTGGCGGTGAGTCAACAAGTGAAGAAGAAGTCGTCTTCAACCAACCTGACTTAATGCATCGCTTCCTACACTCAGCCGCAGTGGCAAAATTGTTGCCATTACCACCACAACCACTGTAAATAAAAATTCGGCAGTCATTTTCAAGCTTGTCATATGCGTATCGTCGGAACGATTGTGTACACTCGCCAGAATCTATTTCATGCTCGCATACGTTTGAAGGGTCAGAAGCGCCAGCTTCTGTAATTAATTTCAAAATTTAGCAAGTGCTAAAATCCCCTTTTGTAAATTTTTATCAAAGCGGTTACTGAACTCATCAAAATTTCCTTAAACAGACTTCACATTGAAAAAAATTTTTTTTTGGAACCCTGGTCTCTTCACATTGCATCTTTACTTGTAAAGGAGAAAAAACCTAACATCATTGAATATTGGTGGGGAAAACAGTACCGCTGAAGTGACAATTGCCCGTGCAATCTTCTTTACTCGCAAAGTTATTGCCATTGCCATTACAGCCTGTGTACGTGAATACTTCACACATTTTAGCTTTTTGGTTCCAGTACCATCGAATAAATTGACCGTTGCAATCGCCGGGATCTTTAGGATGCATACAACGATTCACTTAAATAAATTTGCTTTGAAATTAGATTGCTTTTGCAGCGTAAAGTTCATCTAGTAAAAGAAATGTTGCCATCAACAATGGGACTAACCTGGCAGCAGAATTTCTTCCGAACCAGTAGATAAGTCTTCACCGCCGACTGGTGTTAAAGTTTCAAAATCTCTTGTGTTTTCAGCCGCTACAGTTGCTGCAATTAAGAATCAGTGCGTATATAGAAGTTGTCACTCTTTGCAAAATAATCATTTTTCTAAAAGTTTTCACACTCATAAATTGTCGCAATTTCAAATAATGCACTTATTAGAGATGCAGGAGTCGTGGTTGATCTAGAAGTTAAAGTCTCTGTTGTAGTGCTAGAAGTTATCCCTATCAAACTGGTTGCACTTTTTGGCGAGGTTGGTCTGCCTGCTGGAATAATTAGTTATGCAGTAGAATTCAAATCTCATTTGGAGTGACAGTACAAATAACTTGATTAAAAATTATTTTTTACCCTTCCGGTGCGTTAATGTGGAACTGAGATCAGCGGAATAGTAAACCAATGCCAAAATTTATCAGGCAGTGAAAGAAAATAAAGTTTTTAAAGATTTAAAATTTTTTGAAAGCGTCAACCTTGTATGCATGTTCTCTCACAATCTTCGACCTTCTCAAAGTTATTTCCATTCCCTTCACATCCTCCGAAAAAGAAGTATTTGCATTCTTTCAAATCACTATTATAGTAAAATCGCAACTCGTATCTGTCGCATGGTCCTCTTTCTTTTGGAAGGCTACACACTTGAGGATCAATACCTGAATGCAGAACTCCAGCTTCTGAAACTTCACTTTAATATGATTCTTAGACATCAAGAGATGAGAGGTGAGAAGTGATGTCAATTTACTGGATTTAATGATTTTCTTCCTTAAAAACCCCAGAGATCAAAGCAGGTGTTCGAACCTTTGAATTTTTCAACATCGGGACAGCATATCGAAGACTGCTGAACTGTAGAACACTTGTAACCCCGAGGGCAAGGTGTTTTCGAACAGTCGGTTAAATCACCACTGTTGCCTTTCAGTGGCTCCTTTCCAAGATGACACTTGAAAGCGTTCGTAAGTGGAGCACATCTTTTTTCGCAAGAACTTTTAGAAGCATAATTATTACCATTACCACCACATCCTAAAAAAAAAGTTGCAAAAGACAGAATCGTTTGAACAAGCGATAACGAGTAAAAGCCTAAGTGCATAAGTTAAAATATCACCTGAGTACTTGAAGTGTTTGCAGATTTTTTCATTCTCATCATAGTACCACCGAGAAATCGATGAAGCACATGGTCCTGGCTCAGGTAAACCTGAACACTCATTGATTGGCGGCTGCTTTGCCTGCAGTATTTCTGAAAATTAAACTTATTGACAACCTTCAGTCATGGCTCACGAAATTTTTGAGAAAGGGTTATAGAGCACGACTCTGACTTTTATTCTTTTCAAATTTTTAAAAAATTTTTACTTAAGCAGTTTGGCTTCTTCCTTGCGTCTGTCCTTGAATAAGCAATTTCACTTCCTTTTGAATCGACGCAGAAACACTTCTGGTGATTTTTGTCGCACTGTAATGGTTGGAACTCGCCATTTGAAGTACATATTGGTATATAGCTCTTACTATTTTGATTATTCGCGGCATCTCGCTGCTTTTCACACTCTAAAAAAATACAAATTATAGTATCACAAAGGCACAAATTTTCGGAATTTTTGAAGTTACACAGCAAAAATTGACTCGTAGATTAGCTAACCAACCTGTTTTTATGACATCTGAGGGTGGACTTGTTGAGGTTGCTTTTGGTGGCAATAATTTTGTTGAAACGCTTGTTGATGGAGTAGTTTCAGTTAGAAGGGTTCCTTCCTCCTCACGTGGAGAATCTTTCTTATGTAAACAAGCATCTTCACATTCTTCCTTATATCGATAAAGCTTGGGTTCATTTCTGTCACGTGAACAATGACCTAAAAATTAACTTATTTTTTAGCATTTCGTTAAACCTTTGCATATTTAGTCGAATGTAGCTTTCTGGCTTGGTTTAACATTTAAAAATAATCATTAAATCAGATAAATTGAATCTGATTATTAAATTTTCTGTTAAAGAACAACTGAAATAAAAAAAAGATTAACCAAATGGATATGAAACGCATTCGTCGTCTCTTACGTAATAACGAAGAACGAATTGAGAACGGGTTTGTGGTCCTCCACTGACACCTGGGCATCGACCGCGGAAAGGTTGTCGCTTGCAAGGATCAACGCTTTCTGCAAAACAATTCAGATAATTAACATTCTTCACCAAAGGTTTTGCTGATACTGAACTCTGCTTATGAGCCTTGTTTCCCGACCAACTTGACTTTGTAACTGATGCTCTCTACATTTCTGATGGCTAAAGGAAGTTGGTTCATAGCAGGTTTTCTATTCTTTTTAACTGTTATTTTGAAAAGTTGCCGTTACTAGTAAAAATTCTTATTTACGGGTAATTAACATTCTTTATAGTTATCAAAGCAAATAAAAAAAAGCTGAAAAGCTTTTAAAAGCTATTGGAATTTGAAGGCAGACAATTTTTTTTGCATATAATTTATGCAGCTTTTGACAGTTCAGTTTTTTACAGGAGACTGAAGGAAAAATAAACAAAACTTGCGGTGTAAGATGCAAAGTGAAATATTTTAAGACAACTTCTTCAATGCGCACTGCTGTTGTCATTAAAATTTCAATCTTCATAAAATGTCAAATTACAATGCCAGTGAAACTATCAGTTTACAAAAATTTGAAAGCGAAAAAGGAATTTGTAGGTGCTGATATCAAAAAAAAAAAAAAAAAAATAGCAAAAAAGTAAAGTTGGTTAAAAGCCTAAATTTAGAGTCATGAAAGTGCTCTTCTGGTGAATGATATTGCCAGCAGCTGTTTTTTAGTTTTAAGCAATTATTCTTTGAGGTGAATAGAAATTGGTCAAACCTTGTGCGGCAGTCGTCAATGTAGCTAGCACTACTAGCGTAAGCAAGCTCAACATCGACCACGATTCTACGCCTGAAAAAGTCAAAAAAAAAAAAAAAAAAAA